ACTCCACCCTCTGCTTTCCAACTTCAAGATGATGTTTTTATTACAATACTCTGGCCCTTTGTGTGTGTGTGTGTGTGTGTGTGTGTGTGTGTGTGTGTGTGTTATTATGTTTCTTCCAAACCGAAAATGGAGGTGGAAGAATTAAATCTTCCACAGCAGAGGCACTGTGTTCAGAGTATATCCATTCCTTTCTCTCCAGAAAGATCTGACTCATATTCTACCTGTCTGTAGAGCCTGTCCTGATTACCCCCTTGGCAATTCCCCCCCACCCCCCACCACCAGGTGCCCAGCTTCTGTGAAATACCACAAAATCTTTGAGGGACCTTTGTCTAATAAAAGACACCTCTGCCCTATGTGATCACCATAAGCTACCTTTGTTTGGGTTAGTACTGACATTATTAGAAGGCTGGGATCCTCTGAATCACCAGTGCCTGGAGGTTCAGTAAGGTCACCTTCAAGGTTGTCCTAACAACAAACTACCTCAGCCCAACTGTTCCTAGCAGGTGTCTCAGGACAAACAAGTAATGTTTTAATGTCACAGATATGTGAGTGCTGACTGAACACACAGGAGTGGAAACTGAAAGGGATGACCAATACCACAAACAAGGCTTTGTTATCTCATTATTATGTAACCCTACGGAACAAAAATATGGACAAAGCTAGAATCCAGTTACAACTGCACTGCAATTTTCTTCCGAAACATTTTTTTTAATTAATTAATTTACATGTATCCCCTGAGCATTGTCATAGTATACAAAATGTGATTTCCCATCCAGGATACACTGAATAGTGGCTTAATCATACATGTTATCATCAACAAATAATGTCCCATTTCTTGTTTCATATATATTTTCCCCGCTATTTCTCACCCTCTGCCATTTCCTACCCTCCTCCCATACTGTCTCTGGTGTCTACAGTTGCTTTCCATCCCCCCCACCCCCACATTTTATTGTTCACAAAATATCTTAATTAAACTAGCTACTTTCAATAGCAAGTTCAGCTAATATATACATATCTGTGAATACATGTCTGACTTTGGGCGTGAAACTCAGAGTAGAATGAATTTACTATAAAGTAGCACCTAGCTGATGCTATATAGCTTACTACTGTCATTAAATAGGTATTTTTAATATTATTTTTAATTTCAAGAAAAGCACTTTCAGCTTTAGTAAATCAAAGAAATGCTAAGGAACTTTGCTTAAAGCCAGGGAACAGGTTAGGATTCTGTTCAAATAGTAGGTACATGAACCTATCAGCAGCTCAACACAGGACAAAAATTCTTAAAACCAGAAAACAAAGCCTAGAAGAAAATCAGCAACATTTTAGTCAAAAGTCACAAAATACTATTTCACCAGTTCGTCTCATGTACTTAATCTATCTTCTGTTGTGATTCAATCTTCCCGATTACATTCTGGGATATAATTTTCAACTCCAGACAAGTCCCTACAATTAAGTTGGCCATTTTCTTAGTTTTTGAACTCTTATTTCTGTATCTCTGTATTTAATTTTCCTGGTATAGCACTTGTAAGAAATGGGCTAACCACGAGAGAAAATAGAACTGTAGAGCCTTTATTGGGAGCACTCCTGGGTGAGGTTTGCTGGCCCAGCAGAAAGGGAGAGAGAGAGGGTGGGAGAGGGGCCAGAGAAGTCACGCACTGGAGCAGGATTTAGCAATTTTTATAAGGGTATAGGGTTGGGGAGTGCCTTAGAGGTAGAAACAGTCCATGTATGGTAAAGGTTTAGAGGGAGAACAGACTAGTGTGCTGCATAACATCTAGTGACATGTGCAGAGTAGAGTCCCATGTGCAAAGTAGAGCACCATGTGCAGTACAAAGCGCATGTGCAGAGTAGAGTGTCATGTGCTACATTCAGGTTAGATCTGAGTACAGCACAGGTCTGATGACTGTATAGATCCGGGTTGCATCAGCTGACTGTGATGTGGTGTCTAATCCACACATCCAAGCTGCCCAGGCTTCCGGCCTACCAGTACTCCCTTGAGAACTTCTTGGAGATCTGGTCTGGTGTTGGTAAATTCTTTCAGGCTTTGTTTATCTGAGAATGTTCATGTATTTTCTTCCCATATGAAGGATAATCTTACTGGGTACAGTATTCTTGGTTGAAATTGCTTTTCCCTTAACACTTTGAATATTATTCCCCATTCTTTCCTCGCTTGCATTGTTTCTGATGAGAGGTCCACTGTTAACCTGATGGGATACCCTTTGTAGGTAACTTGATGTTTCTCTCTTGTCTATCTTAGTATCTTGTCTTTGTCTGTGGTTTTTGTCAATCTGACTATAATGTGTCTTGGAGAAGATCTTCTTGGGTTGATTCTATTTGGGGTCCTTTGTATTTCTTGGGAATGGATCTTTGAGTGTCTCTCTAGGTTTGGAAAGTTTTCTTCCAGGACTTCATGGAATAGGTTATCAATGTCCTTATGAGTCTCTTCTCCTTCTGAGATACCAATTATCCAGATGTTTGGACATTTGATGGTATCTAGTATTTCTTGTATATTATTCTCATTTTTTTCTGGCAATTTTTTCAGTCTTCATTGTGGATTTTTCTAGGCCGATTCTATCTTCTACATCTGAGATTTGATTTTTTTGTATGATCTAATCTGCTTTTAATACTTTCAAGGGAGATTTTGACTTCCTGTATTACAGCCTTCATATCTAACAGGTCCATTTGATTCTTTTTTTAATAGTGTGTAATTCCTCTTTTAGATCTTGCAAGAATTTCCACATCTTCTGAACCTCATCAGTTCCTTTCTCCTGCCTCTTCTGCAGTTCATTGTCTCTCTTCCATCTCTGTTAGCTTTGTCACTATGACTATTCTAAATTCTTTATCAGACATTTCCATGAGATTCATTGTACTGTCTGAGGATGAAGAGGAGTTATTCTTTTCCCTTGGAGGAGAGGTATTTTCTTGCTTTCCCATATTTCTTGTGGCCCGAAGTGATTTCTAGACATCTGATAGATGGTAAGTTTCTTCCTAATTCTTGAAGTTCGATCTGAGTGTTCAGAGGCATGCAGAAGGGGGTGATCTGCATTCTCTCTTCTGTTCTGTTTTCACTCTTTGTGCATCAGATTCAGTGGGAATAGAGGAATATTCTGACTCTAATTGTATTCAGATGTTTGGATACCGTTCACTTGGACCTGTCTAGACACTTATGTGTAGAGGCTGAGCAGCCAATGAATAAATAAAAATACAAAAGAATTAAAGAAAAGGAAAGAAGAAGAAAAAATAAAATGAAAAAGAAGAAAAAATGATAAAAAAACCATTACATTATAATTTTAATAAGCAAAAAATGAAAACTGTGTGGTGCACACGTGCACTGTGCGAAAGCAGTATTTCACAGCTGAAGTTTGGTATCCATCTCGGAATGGGCCTGGCCTGGGTTTGTGCCTTTCCTAAATAAAGTGGGGAAAGGCACCAATTAGGAGAGGCTTAAGAACCCAGAGAATAATTTACTTAAAAAAATTTTTTTTTAAATTAAGTCACAGGGAGACACAGCAAGACAGAGAGAGACAGAGAGAAACGGAGAGAAGGAGACAGAGGTATCCCTAACCACTAGAAATGAGTCTAGAAGGGGAAATCTCAGCAGAAAAATCTTCATTTTTGGTCAAGGGAAGCAATATTTCACAGCTAAAGTTTGTATCCACCTCAGGATCTCTAGCCTAAGTTTTAAGCCCCTGGGCCCAGGACTTGAACTGTGGTCAGCTATGACCTAACCACTATGCCATCTGCTAGTACCTTAAAGCTATTAAAAAAAAATGGGGGGCCAGCAGGTGGTGTGGTGGACTTCCATATAGCCCACCATGGTTTGAGTCGTGGACCTGGTGGCTTGGTTTCTCACTTTCCTGCTCACTCTTTTTTTCTCTCTTTCTGCCTCTGTCTGGTGAGCACAGTTCATTAAATTAAATAATTCTTAAAAATAATTTTAAAAAATATATTTTTTTACATATCTTAACTTTTAGGCAAACTCATACCTAGAAATAGTACCATAAAAAAATAAAATACAGGGCTGGCAGGTGGCATGGTGGTTAAGATGCTGGGCTCCCACATGACCAACTGCAGTCCTAGTACCAGACCTGGTGGCTTGCTTTCTCACTTTCCCTTTCTTTCTCTCTCTGGTCAAACTACAAAATATAAGAGTAAATGATATGAAATAAATAGTTCTTTTTAAAAAGATAACATACTTTAAATCTGTCATTTTTTTTTTAAGGTAGGTTTTTGCCATGTGGCATGTGTACTTGCCAAAGAGTGATAAAGAGAGGGAAAGTGAGAGGTCACTACCCGGGAAGGATAGCTACGTTGCAATTCCTTCTCCTCTCTCTCTCCCTCCTGTTGGGATTTTGGGTATGGACATACATGCGCCTGCTGAGATTTTCAAGCTGGGTCTGGGATTCAAACTACAAAGTTGGCTATGTGAGATCCAGCTGCCTTAACCACTGTGCCACTTGCTGGTTCCACATATTTTCTTTTTTTTTTTTTCATAATATAAGGAGACTTCAAAAACTTTTTCGAAAGTGGAATCAAAGTATGAGTTTATTTTGCTGAAACAATATTGAAATTTGTGCGTTTTTTAAAGAATTATTTTATTTTAATTAATTTATTAATTTATTGATTTTATTTTGACCAGAGAGGGACAGAGTGAGAGAGAGAGCACGAAAGTGAGAAAGCAAGCCACTAGGTCCGGGACTTGAACCGCAGCTGGCCATGTGGGAGTCCAGTGCCCTTGACCACCCTGCCACCTACCAGCCCTTGTGCATATTTTTTATAATTTGCATTTTACATGAACTTTTTAAGACTCCCTTGTATATATTACATCTATTTAAAAAAATAAACACCAAAATGGTGTGTTTTTACTTTCTGGATTTCTAAGAATAGGACATATGGAGTTAAACTCATCAAAATAGATTAACTTAAAGTGCTTTTTTGCCTATTGGTTTTTTTGTAGCTAGTTTTTGATAAAGCCTTGGAACGTCATTGAAGAGAGGAAAAAAACACTCTTTGTGTCACCTTCTTTGTGTGGATGATGGCAAGGCATCATAAAAAGGGATATTTATGAGCTGCATGTAGGTGAGCTACTTTGGATTCTTTTTTCCAGTTTCAGTTCTCTTTCAATGTATACTGTAAACAGAAGAGACCCAGGAATTCTCATTTAAGTTATGAGTCAAAACAAATGATCAGGTTACACCTGTTTGGCTTATACTACCTTGGAAACCACTAGACTCCATTTTCTTATGCTTAAAGCATTACTTCGCTCTTAGGAAAATAATATAATCAACTCATGCTTTTTTAAATCATATGAATAAGTCACTGGAACTCTTCTTAATCTCCACATCAGTGTCAAGAGGTAAGTTAAGTTTATTTTCTTATGAAGGGATTTGTCGATTTAGTGGGCAAATTGCTGACTGTATCTCAAAGAACCTTACTTACGAAACTGGTAGTGGACTGCATCTGGCTAGAGTTCTGTGCAGTTTTCTGAATCTTAATAAATAGGAATGCTGAAATGCTTAAATCCTGGGGTATCCCTTGGTTGTGAAACTGTCATTCAGTGTATTTGCACTTTTCTTGTGATCATAGAAACAATACACATATAAACATCCTGTACCCCTTGGGACTATAACAACAAACTCTAGCAGAGCCACAAATCCTGGGTTTGAGAAACCTTGCTTTAGAGATTTTCCAAATAGACCAAAATGAAGATTTTTTTCAACTCATCAAAAATAAAATGCCTTGAATTGATACTGGGAGTTAAAGGGTTTGCGAGTGTCAGCAGGTGCAATGGGGCTCAGAGGCAGAAAGATGCCCATGAGAGGAAACTCTATTTTATGGGGGGCAAACAATTTATGTGCAAGGAAGGCAGAATTATAGATGGACTAGGACAATCCAGAGCTTGATGGCAGGTGGAGACCAGCCATGTAGAACCTGAGTTCTGCTGCTGGATTTGCTGCTGACTTATTGGGAGTCTTGGATGAGTCTCCTGTATCTTTTGAGTTTGGGTTTCTTCATCACTAAATTGGGGGTGGCATGACACACCTGCTTATTACAGAGGATAGAGGTGAGGGTTGAATGAGATTGTATAAAATGTTTCAGAAATGATTGAGTTCTATCAAGGATGAGTATTACTATTAAAAAGAGGTGAAAGGAGCTGGGTATATGCTTACAGTTTTTTTTTCAGGGATTGTTACTTGTGGTCTGCAAGGCGGTTGGAAATCTGGTGCTACTCAAGCTTAAGTTTCAAAACAGCTCTTTGCGGTGATTACAAAGCATCTGTCTAGCTCCTGGTGGTGCAAGGGCTTTTTGAACAGTGTTGTACCCATCTGGACAGAGTGGCCTCACCTACCTTCCCTCTGGGCGGCCATGCTTGTCACTCCCTGAACCACCCAGAAGTGAAGTCTCCTGTGTCGAGAGAGAAGTTACTGGCATGGCAAAGGCCTGCCCTGCAACAAGAGAATTGGCGGGTTGCTCAAGAGGGGTCTCAACCTTGGTACTGCAGTCAGGGGCTGGTGCTCAGTCCCAAAGGTTCAGGAGCTCAGGTGTATAATTTACCCAGAACTGAGTCTGCTCTAAAGGACTCATTCATGTTAACTGAGCCCAGGGAGCCTGATTTATGAAGTGTCTCTCCAGTTACTTTGTGATGTTGAATCCTAGGAAAACTTTCTTGCATAGTATAAAGAATCATGGTCAGAAAATTATTACTCAGAAGGTTGTTTGGTAAACTGGAGTATTAAAAATTAAATGATTGCTATGGATGTTTAATTCAGGATGTAGAAAGGCCAAATGAATGAACTATCCTTGACCATACAAAAAGGTCTCGTGACTCATGTGCTGAACCTAAAAATTTGTGAAAATTCTGACTAGTTCTGACAACTTCGCATGTTTGCAATAGGGGTTGCCCCAGAAAATCTAGAATCTTGGCTGCAGGAGAGAGTGACTGAGTAGTTCGTAGCTGTACGGTATAGTCTTTTCCCTATGTACAGAGCTATGTGGATGCTGGGAAGATCTATTTGCCCATCTTTCATGAAGCTCTCTACCCTTTACAACCTTTGCAGCCATGTCGTTATGTCATGGATACATAGTTGATTCACATTCACTATCCACTTTACTCGGGTACTCTTTGTATGCTGTGAGTGGGTCTAGCATTTGCCAAGTTATTCCAGAAATACATGACAGATGATCTCTTTGGGATGAGTTTCTTCTACAAGTAGGCATCCTCCTTCCCCATGACAGTCTTTACACATTTCACACTCAAGAAAGGTATTTATCTCCAAATTTTGAGTTTCTTAATTTAGCCTGATTGTACTCCAGAATATTATGTCATAGACATCTGAGTTTATTTTTTTAATTTCTCTTGATTAGTTAGATCTTTAGAATAGCTAGCAGAGGCTTTTTGCCTGAAATTCTGGGGGTCCTACAAATTTTACTGGTTTAATGGTGATAATGATAATTTTTAAATTATTATTTATTATGACCAGGTATTATCCTAAGTGTTTTTGATGATATTGCTTGTAACTATACAAATGCAAATTCATTTTAAGAGACTAGAACTTTACATGTATGAAGTTATTTCCTCTAGCTTTTTCAATTGGTTGTGACTCTTGAATATACAGCACACAGGGAATAGCTATTTTAAGCTTTGTATTCACACAATTCTACTCCAAAGTTCTTGTGCTAATGATTAGGTAGGTATCTGCTATGATGAAGACAAGGGTTAAAACAAGCAGTCATTTGGGGCCAACAGATGGTATAGAGCTTATGTTGGTTAGGATCCCATATGGCTAACTGTGGTTCGAGTCCCAGGCCTGGTGGCTATAAACTCATGCCAGGTGCATGTGTGTGCATGGTCAAGATCCCAGGAGTATAACAGAGACTGCAGCATGTCCATCCCCTCTGGGGGTTGATTTCTAACTTTCCCTCTCACTATCTCTGTCTCTCTCTCTGGTGAGTGCACAAAAACCTCCAAACAAAAACAAAACAAAGTCATTAATTATTACTAGAGTATTCTAATTCCTCATCCCCTGTAGTGCATGTGTGCACATATACCCACACATACCTAGTCTCCACTAACCAGACACATTTCATTTGGAATTTTAATAAAAAGTGCTACTTGAATTAACATTGATGACAATAAGGAAAACTATTGCTGTAAGATCAAATATTTGAATAAATAGGAATAATTTTTTTTAAGGTTTCTTGCCATAGGGCACATGCACTCACCAGAGACAGAGACAGTGAGATGGAAAGTGAGAAATCACCTCTTGGGAGAGTAATATGGGCTTGAAATGGGGAGGCATGAGAGCATATGGGGTGGGAAGATGAATCATCTGACCAGAGTGAGTGAATGTTGGTAGGCATAAGATTAGGCAGGCCCTGAACATCAAGGTGAGAATTTGACATTCATTCTGAAAATATTGCAGAAGCCATAGTATATTCCCAAGCAGAGAATGATGGGACGAAAACAGCATTTTAACCCAGCATCCAAGTGCAGAACCGCTTTTAGGAGGGAGTCAGGCTATCTCCCACTTGTTTTTCTTACAGATGTGACAGGATGGTGTGTCTCAGATGCAGCTAGGAGTTAAGAGGAAGAGGGGACCTTAGAACAAGGGATGTTGAATTTAATTGGGAATGGAGTGACAATTCAGGTGGAGAACAGAGAAGCTGGACAAAAGAGAAGAATGGTAGAGTTGCCAGCATTTGCAGGGAAGTTTTGAGTACTTGAGAAGCCATGTTCTTTTTTTTTTATATATAATTATTTATTTTATTTATTCATTCATTTATTTCTTAATTTGACCAGAGACAGACAGAGGGTAAGAGTGAGAGAGAGAGGAAGTGAGAAAGCAAGCCACCAGATTCAGGACTCAAACTCTGGTCAGCCATGTGGGAGTGTCCAGTGCCTTAACCACCACGCCACCTGCTGGTTCCAGAGAAGCCAAGTTCTTATTCACTATTGAATTTTTAACTGTTATTTAGGCAGTGGTGTGCAATAGTGAGCAGTGAAGGTACTTGGTTTGGTTGCCAGATAAAACATAGATTGCTCAGTTTCATTTGAATTTCAGATAAACCATAAATAATCTTTTAGTATCTGTGATCCCAAATATTAGAAGGCACATTTATAGTAAAAATCATTTGTTGTTCATTTGTTGTTCCCATTTGACTAGACATCAATGCATTTTTATTTTCTCTGTTTGACTACCCTAGCCCATTATAAAATATGTACTCTGAACAGACAAGAATCATATAAACAAGTATGTGATTTTAATATGTAAATGACATGAAGGAAAATCAGTCAGTATTATAATTAAGAATACCAAAGAAGACCTAAGTTAGATAAGTGGGGTCAGGGAAGCCGCTCTGACTCAGGTGAGGGGGACAAGAGCACTGAAGGCAGGAGAATGGAGGTAGGGTCTAAAGGAGAGACGGAAAGGAGAGAGATCATCTGGAACCCATCGTGCCTGGAGATGTACGAGGCAAGGTTGGAGAGACAGGCAAGGGCACTGCTACATAGGCCTTTGTTGTCGGGGGCAGGGGAAGGATTTGGCATTTTTTTAAACTTTAGAATTATTTTAAAATTTTTTTTAAAGAGTGCTCACCAGAGAGACAGTGCCGGGGGTGGGGGCAGTGAGATCGCAAGCTGCCAGATCTAGGAATTGAACTGCAGTCAGCCGTGTGGGAGTCCAGTGCCTTAACCACCATACCATCTACTGGCCTTTATAGTAGGACTTTAAGCAGAGAAATGAGACTGTGATTTTCTAGAAAATTTTTTTCAATGTCAAAATAAGAAAACAATACTGAGTACTCACCGTGTATCACACAATTTTGAGGGCTTACATCTATCAACTTGCGAAAGCCTCATAAACCCCATTAGGTAGGTACCATACCACCACCAATGAGCTTGGACTTGAATCCAGGGAGTCCAACCCTCTGCCCAGACTTGCATCCAGTAAACTAAACTACCTCTGTTAAAAGTGAACTGACATTGGAACATTCTTCCCCCATAAGAAAAGTCATTGTCTTTTCATTAGCAAAGAATCTGAAAATAGAATGGGTATTTATCAGTCCAATGGAAGTCATAGCACCGACGTTTGATGGCATCAGTCTTCTTTCTCCAGAGATCATCTTTCTACTGCTTTTCATTTAGAGGCAGTCTGCGTCTACTCTTACCGCCCTCTTTTCTCTAAAGTATCCAGCAGGGTACTTTCAAATGTTTTATAACATGATATAAATATCCTCAAGTAATATGGACAAATGCCCAATGGTATATGTCATAGGAAACACAGTACTCCCCCTCCTTAATCTTGGGGCTTTGTTTTAATATTTGATAAAGACATTAACCTTTCAGGTACATTTAACAATCCTTTTTATTTAACACAATTCTGTTTGTATTCTGAAAACCAAGGACATTGAGGGTATTTATTCCCTGCTGAATAGAACATTGTGTACATGTATCTTTGTTTTCTCTGAAAATACCCCCTAGCCTTCATTTATCTTTGCCGGGCTCTAGCACGTGAGTCTGTTTTGTATTGTTCTCTGTAAGAGATAATGTAATCTGCTCCAACAGGTGTGCTGCTGAACAATATCCTAATGTCCTTAACCCCTGGTTCCCCTCGCACTGCCATTCCATGATATTGTTGGCTGAATCTACGGAGAAAAATATAATTAATTTTTGTAATAAAAAATAGGACCTAAAACCAAAACATTTTCACCTGAGAAATCATAAAGCAAATTAGTGGCAGACCTGGAGCTCTAGCCCACGTCTTCTTGTCATGGTAGAAAGTAAAAAGCAGTGGTTCTCAACTAGGGAGATTTTACTCCATCTTCGGGATCCACTTAGAAATGTATGGAGACAGTTTTGGTTGACCCAAATGGTGTGTGTTTGGGGAAGGGGGGCTGCCACTGGCATTTAGCTGGTAGAGGCCAGGGGTTCTGATATATCCTCCAATGCACAGGACAGCAGCTGAGACAATGATCCAGTCCCAAATGTCAGTGGTGCTCATGCTGAGAAATCTTGTTTTACAGACTTATTTACCCTGCTCTGTATCTTAGCTGTGACCTTGAGAGAATGGCATCCATTTCTGTCTACCTTCTTACTGAAAGAACTGAACAACTATTACCATAAAACAAACAGACAAACAAAACCCCAAATCCACTTTCCAGGGTGGTTGTGAAAGACCAATTCAGAAGCACTGAACAGTGCTGAGTGTATCATGAGCCCAATAAACAAAAATCGGGCTCAAAAAAAATTATTAAAATAAATAAATAAATAAATACATACATACATACATACATACATACATACATACATACCCAAAAACAAAAACAAAAATCGGGCTCATTCACAAAGTTCAATTACAAGACAAGATGGAGGCAGGCAGTGCCAGAAAGTCAAAGTCACGGTAATGAAAAGGACTTCCCAATTGTCCGTTAGCTTCTTTTACATGGAAAACCAATGGCGAGAGGTATAAGAAAGTTAAATAGCATTCAGGGAAATAGAAAATAGTGGGTGCGTTGTATAAATGAGAGACAGATAGCAGTGGAAACTTGGAGGTGAACTTGAAAGATATTTAGGAAGAATTAGAAAAACCTGGTGGGCAATTAAAAAAGAGTCATGAGAGAGGAATCTAGGATGAATACAAGATTTCTGACTTTGTGTTGGTGGTGATATTCAAGAAGAATATGAAATTAAAGAGTGAAGACAATATTGGGTCATTGGGAAAATCATGAAGCATTTTTGCATAGAAAAACATGAAAAAAGTGTCATGACTTTCCCAATTACTTAACAGAGTCAGCTGTAGACACATCCAATTTGAGATACCTATGGGACATGCCGATAATAATCAGGAGTCAGTTAAACCAAATCTTTGAGAGAAGCTGAAGATTTGACAGTCAGAAATCTGAAAATTGAATCCACAGGAATGAATGATATTTCCCAGAGAATGTGACGTGAGAAAAGAGCAGAGTAAAGAACTTTGAAGAAGTGAACAAAGAAAACGATGATGGCACAATCCAGAAGTGAGAATAACAGGAAGAGAAGAGAGAGTAGTGCGGAAGGTTGAAAGCATTTTGAGAACACAAGCGCAGGAAATAACCAAATGTCACAGAAAAGGTAAATGAGATGCAAAGTGTCCAGAGATGTGGAGTTGGATGTTAGTACTAACTTTAGCCTGGAAAGTTAAGTACAATGGTGAAATTAAACTCTCAGCTGAGGAGTGACAGCTGAGGAAGTAGAAATAAGAGGGGAGAGGGCACTGGAAGGATAAACTGTAAAGACCTTCCTCTCACGCGCTAAAAACACGAAAAACACTGAAGCTTAATTTATATACTGAGAGGAAGGGGAAATGGAAGTTGAAGATACAAAATGAAGAATAGGGGAAATGAATAGATTAAGAATGGATGTAGAGCTGGAATGATTGTTTAGAGACAAGAAGAGGGAGACTTCCCCCTTCCAAACTAGGTAAAGAAGGGAAGTTGGCATGAATAGCAGCTCATCTGGAGGGTAAGCGGGAATGACTCTGTGGAAGTACATACTGGAGAGCCTCACTTTCACTATCAAATCATAGGGAAGCTCAGCTGCTGGCGTGGGACACAGGAAGGGCAGGAAAATTGCTTAAGGGTTGGGAAGAGAGATTAACAAGTTAGAGAGAGTAGAGACAATGACTTCAAGAGCCTGGCATGTAAAGGACATCTCAAAGTACTAGGTTCACATTGGGATTAACGTCTAATTCTTTCCTGATCAGACACAACCCATCCATCTCTAGAAGAAAGCAATACCCTATATTTTCCCAACCATGAACTTGTTTGAAAATGGGTGACAAGCAAATTCCAAATTAAAGTGGACACGGGATCAATGATCACCACGGACCAGCTGTATCATCTCCTTGTCATGAAAGTGATCACATCCTGCAGGATTGGTAGGGAGCTTTCAACACCCAGAGCTGTTACAATGCAGAAACTGGAGTTTTTCCAGAATCCCTCAAATAAGACAGAAGTGATCAAGTAGAAATTTAAAAATGTGATGAAACTGTTTTCTTTTGCAGAGTCTTGCCTTCTTCTGAGACTACACCATGAGCTGGATGTTCCTCAGAGACCTCTTAAGTGGAGTAAACCAATACTCATCTGGGGTTGGGCAGATTTGGCTGGCTGTAGTGTTCATCTTCCGTTTGCTGGTGTACATTGTGGCAGCAGAGCACGTGTGGAAAGATGAGCAGAAAGAATTCGAGTGTAATATTAGACAACCTGGTTGTGAAAATGTGTGTTTTGACTACTTCTTCCCCATCTCCCAGGTCAGACTTTGGGCCTTGCAGCTTATCATGGTCTCGACACCTTCACTTCTGGTAGTTCTACATGTAGCCTATCATGAGGGGAGAGAGAAAAGGCACAGAAAGAAACTCTACGTCAGCCCAGGCACAGTGGATGGAGGCCTATGGTGTACTTACCTTCTCAGCCTCATTGTCAAAATCAGTTTTGAAATTGGCTTCCTTGTTTTATTTTATAAACTGTACAATGGCTTTAGTGTTCCCTACCTTATGAAGTGTGATTTGAAGCCCTGTCCCAACACCGTGGACTGCTTCATCTCCAAACCCACTGAGAAAACCATCTTCATTCTCTTCTTGGTCATTACCTCATGCTTGTGCATTGTGTTAAATTTCATTGAAGTCAGTTTTTTGGTTCTCAAGTGCTTTATTAAATGTTTTCTCTTAAAATATGCTAAGAAATTCAAGTCCTCAGTATGTGAGAGACAGAGCCTTAGATGTGTAGAATGTGATGAGACAGGGGCTCCTTCCCTACTCCAGAATCCCCATGCAGGCTTGGCTCTAAGCACACCACAGCAACAAGAACCAAAGATACTTTGTGACACACAGTTGGGTCAGACATAGAAAACCTGCATTCCTCCTAAGCAACACATAAACTGGGTTGGAAAACAAAGGATATCAGCTTTAATGTCATTTGGAATTTGAAAAAAAAATCCCAATATGTTTTTAGTTGTGAGCACCAGACAGAGGTCTCATTGTTTTATTGTAGCATTCTCCATCATGTGGATACAACTGGTTTTGAATAGTGACTTACAAATTACACTGAAGAACTCCAACTAACACTCTTT